TCAAAAATAACCAAACAAAACAAGACGTTTTATTTTATTTGCACTGAGACGAGGGACTTTTATCTGTCAATTCTCTGCTTGTTTGGGCTCTTTTTCTTTCTGGCCAAATGGACACTAACAATTTTTTTTTTTGTTATTTTCTTTTCACAACAACGACAAATGAACGATTTAAAAATACATTTTTATGGTTTGGACACGAAAATATTTTATGGCTTTTTAATGGTGCCCCTTCTAAGAAAGGAATTCTTATTGGAAACTAAATTTGATTCTTTTTTTTTCTTTTTTATTTACACTGTTATGTGTTGTTAATAGTCGGTGGCTCGCTCGGCACCGCTATAAAATTTCCTTTTTTCCCTTTAGACAACTTTTTGACAACTGTATCCTTTGCTCTATTTTACATCAAACACACACACAGACACGCTCACATAACCATTATTTTTTTTTTTTTTTGCCAGACACTTGAAGGCTTTTATATTTTCCACAAATTTTCAGCATTAATTTATTTTTCTTTTCTTCTATTTTTTTTACTCCTTAAATATTTTAAGGATATATGCCAACAAAAAATTTCCTATGATTTTATAACGCACACACAAAAGCAAAGAAAATTTTAGTTACAACGAACGAACAAACGACGTCGACGGCAACCGTAATAGACGACAATAAACTCACGACTTCTTGCAATTGGGAAAACAGAACAGCCAGAATTTCATTCATATTGAAAAATGTTCTTTTTGTCAGTTTTGCCATTTGGATGGGAGAGAGAGTTTTTGCAACTCGCTCTCTCTCTCTCTCTCTCTGTATTTACCACCCAACAGAAAATTCACAACAAACGCAGTGTTGTCGCATTGAGTAGTGAACGGAAAGTCACTGGGCAGCACTTAAAAATGGCGCCAACATCATTTTAAAGTGTAGAGGATGCAGGGTTGTCGTGTAGAATAAAAATAAAAATGAAATAAAAATGATGAATTATTTGACTATACTTCAAATCAATGACAAATCTTTGTAAAACGCGCAATATAAATTTCGGAGTAAATCAGGCCATAAAAAACTTTTTACAATTTTTTTTCTGGAGACATCAACTAGACAAGAGAACTGCTTATCATATTGAAAGAATTGCGAATTAGGAAAAATATCAAAAAAATGAGAACAGATTGTTGCATGTAATTATACCCTGCATTTTGATGATCAAAATAAAATCACGTTCTGAGTTGATTTATACACGTAACAAAGTACAGGTCGTATTTATTGCCCTATTAAGATGAAATTTTGCATAAAACATTTGTTTGGTCCAAGGACGTACTCTTTCGAAATTGGAAGCAATCGTTCAAAAGTTAGATATAGCTCCCATATATATCTTTACCCGATATGCATTTTATTGTGCACCAAATGTGTAATATTAGGATCCAAATAGGATGGAATTTGTCACATTTAACCAAACTGAGCCTAGAAACAAGTGTGTCAAATTTGGCTAAAATCGGTTCAGATATAACTATATCTCCCATATATATTCTTCATCAGATTTGTTAAACATCTCATTCACATCCGTAATATGCACACCGTAGCAATGATAATTGGGAAAATATATCGAATAAATCTCAGAAATACTTTTGCCAAATTTTATCGAGATCGGTTAAGATTTGGATATAGCTCCCATATATATTTTTACTCGATTTCTAGTTAATTTTGCACCAAATGTTTAATATAAAACCCGAATTGAATGGATTTAGGTAAATACGAACGAATTTCGCCTGGATGAAAGTTTATCAAATTTGATGAAAATCGCTTAAGATATAGCTGTAGGTCCCATATATATGTTTCATCAGATTTTGTATTTTACTCCCTCACACCCGTAAAATAATCTCCACTACAACGATATTTGGTGCCAACTATCCGATGCAGCATAGAAATATCATACTTTTTATAGAGATAGGTTCATTTTTGGATATATATCTTCTTCCGATTTCACGTTTATATCAGTATATTATCAGCACAAAAAGGATGGATTTTTGATGAATATCGGTTCATACACAAATGCTTCCCATCTGACGATGTAGATTTTTAAATAATTTTTAGGAACCCTCCTCGAACCATAACAAGATATTTTAAGGCTTATTAAAGTCCATCCTCAGAGCAACTGATGTGGAGTTTTTCATAACTTTTTTTAAATCTTTCTTAAGTTCATCTTTAGACCATAAACGTCGAATAATTTTCTTATTTCTTTAGAACTTGATAAAGTTAAAGCTAATAAAAAGGTGGATAAAGTTGGATAACAAAAGTTGGATTTTTTTCTAACAATTTCCACTAATATATGTGACTTTTTATATATTTAAAGAATTTTTTTTTTATTAAATGCTCGATTTTTCTTTTTTTCAGACTTGGTAGATGGTTACCCCGTCAAGACGAAACTATACCCACACATGCACAAACTGTTATTTTTTTGATAAAATAGGGGCATAAAAAGAAAATGTTTTTCTTGTTAGAAAGCTAAACTTTTGTGGAACGCTTTTTGATTTGGTAGCGCACAAAATGCTCGATATATATTAAATAAACTTGGCACCACTTCTAGATTAGAATAAGGCGTCGCAAACCAATGCAAGCATACAGTTATTAAAAAATACGACATTTGAATATTTTGGAAAGAATTCTAGTATTAGTTAAAAGAGAAATGCCCCCTTTAGCTCACTGTGATCAGTGGAATATAGCAGCAGTTGTTTTGTTTACACACAAAACGACTGGTATTTATTAAAGAAACTTGGCACCACTCTTGCACTAGTAAAAGGGCGCCATAAAATAAAAACGACAATTGCAGCAATTATTTCATTAAAACATAAGACTTTTAAATGTTTTGAAAAGAATTTATATATTCATTTAACAAAAAAGCGCCAGAACGATATCTCACTTTGGTCAGCGAAAGCTATTTCATGGGAAAGTGATGTAGTTTTAAGTAAAGGTATAAAACGACGACGGTAAGATATGATGCGATCAAACCATGACCCATTTTGAATAACGAACCATCCAAATTGTTGGCAATCCTTGGGTTCTTTGTGCGTAGACAACCTCTGCATTCTAATCTTGGTGGCATTAGTTGATTTCAGCTGAATTTTGCCGATTTTAGGCGTTTGAAGCATGTGGCTCCGCTCCATATTACGGCTCTTAACAATGGCTGTAAGAAAGGTGCCTCAATAGGTGACAAACTTCTTATCTATTTCCTGTAATCATTTAATATAATTTTCTCTATTTTAATTAGGTAATCTTTCAACTCTTTCTACATTTTGAACTACCTAGCCAACCCGAATAATATAAATAAGAAGGACACAATATGTACCGGTAGCAATTTTCAAAATTCAAGTTAAATGTAAATTGAGATTATTTTGAATGGACACATTGATCCAAGCTATTCCTATAATTATGTGAGGTATTTATCCAATTCGTATTGTTCATTTATATGTTAATTTACTATCTCTTATGGTAGAACCACCAAAATCGTTGCGTTGACTATATTATAAAGAATATTCAGATACCAAATATTTCTGATATTCCTAGGCGTAGGATTGTGAAGTATAACTAGTTCATGTCAGTCACAGGTGTAGCTGTCTTTAAAGCACCTTCAAATTATCTTCGATATGTGCGGTCTATCAAAAGCTATTCTATCTGTAGAAGGCGTTTTTTTTCTATCAATAAAATATATTCCAACAGTCCTCTGCTTATGAAGGCCTTTCAAGAGGTTTCAAACTAATACATATTCTTTTAAGTTCTTTAAACTTCCTTCCAAGAGCCTTCTGGAATAGTAGACTATTTGAAGGTATTGTACATACGGAGGACTTTGATATATTGATGGTCTACTATCCATAGAACAAGAAAATACATTCAATGAATAGAAATGTTTTATACATCAAGTACTTCTATAGATCTTCGGTAGTTAGAAGATTTTTAAAGGCAGCTCAACATTTATAGAAATAAGAAAGACTAAGAATTCCATGCGGATCTTGAATATTCTTAAAGGGGAATAGAGGTCTATTACATGTACATGCTACTTCTTATATAAACAATGCAAAAACAGGTTGCTTTATAAACATTACCTCTAATATAAATGTCTATAAATAACAGAATTTTACTTAATTTTAGTTCTTAAACGAATAAAAAAGCTGTAAGTTCGGCCGGGCGATCTTTGAATACCCCACCATTTGGAACGATTTTGGCAATTTAAAAAAATAAAATCCGTTAAAAATTCTGTAAATATCTTAAAAGTACCGAATGTAGCTGTTATATTAGGGTCTAAACGACGACATGGACCTGCATAGGTAACATTTTTCATAAACCATTACAATATTCAAACGCGAAACTTGAATGAAAAAAAATCGATGAATAATAATCAATAAAATTCCGATTATAGGAAGATACCGCTATATGGGGGCTATACGAAGACGTGGACCTGCACAGACAATTTTCAGTCATAGGTGTTGTACCCATTACGAACTTCAAATAACAAATTTGGAACAATTCCGGTGAATGATGTCGCTAAAACCATCAAAATACCGAAAAAGGGAGGTACCATTATAAGGGGACTATATAGGGACGTGGACCTGCACAGACAATTTTCTGTCATAGGCTGTTGTACCCATTACGAACTTTAAATACCAAATTTGAAACATTTCCGTTGAATAATGTCGCTAAAATCATCAAAATACCGAAAAAGGGGAGGTACCAATATATGGGGGCTATACCAAAACGTGGACCTACATCACCAATTTTCCATACCAAAAGACCTGAAGACATAATACACATTTGAGTAAAATTTTATCAACCTACTTCATATCGTTCGGAAGCTATAGTGATTTCACAGACGGATAGACGAACGGACATCGGTAAATCGAAATAGAATTCTATGGTGATCAAGAATATATGTAGTTTGGGGGGTCTATAATGTATATTTCGAGGTGTTACAAACGGAATGACAAACTTAATATACCCTCCATACTATAGTGGAGGGTATAAAAAGGAATGTACTAGAATTTATTTTATCTGCTAATACAATTATTTATTAGTTTCTTATTGTTGTCTTATCTATTAAAATACATTGATTTGTATAGTTTTTTTTTTGTTGTTCTTAAATTCATAAAATATTTGCAGTTTTTGTCGCTTTCTATGCTGCTTAATTTGAACTTTATACAAAAAAATATTATAAAAAAAAGAATTCAACAAAACAACAAAATGTACAGATCATCATTTGGTCTAGAATATAAATATGTAAAAAAATTGTTTGGAAATATTTTTGTTAAATAGTAGAAAAAGATCAATTACACTAATATGCATCCTTGTGGTCAGACTTGTCATCACCAGGACTATGGTGGATCACAAATAAATTCTATGATATTAATTTTTTCTTCTCCTCCGTGTCTTTGGCCAGGGGTTTCTTAGTTGCGGCTGGTGGCTTTTTGCCATAGAACATGTCGGCAAAGAGACCGGCAAATACCAAAACAGCACCAAACCATTGACGTGGCAGTAAGACATTGCCGAAAATCACAACGGAGCAGAGGACAGTGAAGAATTTACGGGTAGTTGTTACCACGGAGCAGGCCAAGGGACCAAAACCGGATACCATAAGGAAAATAAACAGTTGGCCAAGGCCGCCACAGAAAGCCAACATGGCCATGTGGCCCCAGAGTTCGGGATGACGGCTGGCAAAGTGGATAAATTCCTTGCCTTCACCTGGAATGAGTAAAGCATTTTAATTTGTTTATTTCAATTGGAAAACAATCCCACTAACCTGTCACAATCATGGCAAATCCCAACATCAGAGTACTCCAGAAATTCATGGCAAACATCATTTGTTGTCCCGATGGGGCACTGGAGGAACGCATACGTTCTTGCACCGCACCAGTTAAGCCATCCATGGACAAACTAAGAATCAACAGTAATTCACCCAATCCAGTCTTATCGGTGGCAACCACTGCCGGCGCCTTGCTTTCTTTGTACATGAACAGGACAACACCCACAACAATTGTCAAAACACAAGCATAACGTATCCAGCTATATGATTTACGTCCAATCAACACTCCCAGTATCATAACCGGTATGGGCTTGGCAGATTTACCCACAACTTGGGTAGGATATGGCACCCAACGCAAAGCCATATTTGAAGAGACCATGGCCAAAAGGTAAGTCAATGCACTGACGGCATAATAACTTCTGGGGGTGGTGTCTTCCTTTTGGGGTTTGACTGTCAACATACCTGGAAGGAGAAAATATTTGGTTAAGAACTCCATAGGGAATTTGATATTATATCGCTTCCAACCTACCTTTGGCAAAAATGAAATTACATAAACACTGGACCCACACCAAAGCCAGGGCATAGGTAAACTTCTCACCCACCGTGCCATCCTCATTGGCCTGTTGGCCATAACGTCCACGCGTTATTTTCTCTTGGACAATGCCATACAGAAAATAGCAAAAGAATATTCCCAAGGCGTAAATTAAAAAGCGGCTTTTCTCGGGTATTTTCATGGCGATTGGCTGCGGCTGTTGCTTTCCAATTGGCTTCCAGGTGATATGACGTGTTCTATGCTGCGCTATTGTTTGTTGTCTTTTGTTGTCAATTTATGTTATTAAAACATAGTTTATTGTTGCTTGTGGTTTAATTGAAGTCGGCTCAACAACAACTTTTACTACACGTCATAACGAATTGGATTACAAAGCCGTTAAGGATTTTAGAAAAACGCCGTTAAAAGAGACTAAGAAGCAAGTACTAAGGCGATGTTTGATGAAGTTACAAATCAAAACAAAAGCAATGATTGGTTCCCAGGGTTCTAGAGGTACATTTTTGTTCTTGGGTCTGCTTCATTTTCGCCGGTAGATGAATTAAGAGAATACATACAATGAGATGTGTGTACACAGCTGTTGAATGTATAGTTAGAAATGTATTTTCTAACACATTTCACTACAAATTATTCGTTCTTGCCGAGACTTGCCAAAAGCAGTTGCTTTCTATTAGGGATATCTAGATCGACTATCGCATCTTTAAAAATCAAACGAAAATGGTAAATTGTGGCATGCACTCACGATTGATAACACCTGGTTAAATAAAAAGAGCTCTCACGGAAGGAAATAAACTTAAAATCATCATGCAATGAAGACAAGGTGGGGAATTCAATTCACTGAAATATTTTTTTCTATTGGTGGTCTTGTGATGTCAAAAGAAATAATAACAAATAATTTAGAAATTGTGTTAAAAATTAAACATACGTTTACAGCATTTGGAGATGCTATAAATTTGCTTTTTGAGATGAAAAAGAATTGTAATGTATTAGGAACATTATATTATAGACAATCGTAGTAGTTCTATTCATTTTTCACGATTTCTTCTTAAACTAAAATATTGTGAGAAGAGTGTCAAACATGACAGAAGAATACAGGTAGATGCATCATCAAAAATTTAATTTTTTTTTTCAAATATAAGTAGATTTGTATATGTTTCCTTATACTACGTCAGTCGGAGGCTATTAAAATTCGCGTTTTTCAAAAATTTTTACAAATTTTAATAATTTTTCATTCAACATTTTCAATTCCAAAATTGGTTTGACAGTGCAAATGTGTCGATGCGTCTACCTATATTCTTCTACCATGGTGTCAAATAAGCAAACATCAGCTGATTGTCATTCTAAATGATCTAAAATTCAATGTATTGACACTGTATCTATTTCAGGAGAAAATAGTTATTGTGAATGTGATATTAACACAATTTTCTGAATTTTTAAAGACAATATTTAGACCATTATACAATTAAAAAGGTAATATCATACAATCATATGATTGATGGTAGAAGAATACGGGTAGATGCATCAACGCTTTAATCAGCATAAAAGTCGATTTATCGATGTTCGACTGTCTGTTGAAATCACGATACACTCCACATAATTTGACGTATAGCGTCAAAATTTAGCAGAACAATTTGTATTGTGTCTAGGATGGTTGGTATTGAAAATGAGATATATCGGTCACGTTTTGGTATAGTCCCCATATAACATTAACTCTCGATATTCGCTATATGGATGATTTTGCAACATTTTTTCACGGATTTGTCTGAAAATTGGCAATTGCAGTCCGTAATGGGTTCTAGATCGGTGGCGGATCATAGTATTCAGAGGTCCATGTTTTGGTCTAGTCCCCACATAATGGTACCTCCCAATATTCGGTATTTTGATGATTTCTGTCACATTTTTTCACGGAATTGTCTAAGAAATAGTCTTTTAGGTCATAATGCGTTCTAGCTCGTGTGGCGAAACATTGTATGTATAGGTCCACGTTTTGGTATAGCCCCTATATAACGGCACCTGCCGATATTCGAAATGTTGATGATTTGTTCACACATTTTTCCAAGTATTTGTGTTTCTTAATGGGTTCTAGACCGGTAGCAGAACATTTAACATTGATCTTTCACCCTAAGGTGGAGGGTTTTCAAATTTCGTCCCGGCCGAACTTGTTTTAGTGAAAAATTACTCAAATTCGTTAAAATTGTTGAAAAATGCATATCATAACAACCTCCGATTGTCGTCGTATGAAAATCTACTTATGTTTGACAATACATTCTAAAATTTTTGACACATCAATGTTCCGCTGAATCTATTAAACCCAGTGGATTTATCTTCAATAGTATCAATGCGCTATTAGTTTTCTGGTATAAAAGGCGTAAAAATTACAAAACGCTCTGTCGGAAGGAAATGTAAATTTTTTGTCAGTTGTACGTCTTTATTTAAGGAAGAACTGAAAAATATAAATTTCGCAATGAATTGGCAATAACAAATAGTAATTCTATGATTACACTTTTAGATTAATAATGGAGATTACCTTTGTAATTGTACCATGTTCTCTTCATTATAATTAATTTCTTTAATTGTAGAAGACGTCGGGGTTTCCTCACTTTTACTTGCACAATGCTCAATTTAATTGTTTTTAACTGGACCGCTATTAATTACACCAGTTCCGAAATAAGTCAACCTAAAATTTGTTTGTTCTTATACGAAGAAATCAGCTGATGACTTAAACCAGTCAAAGAAACTTAGTATCACGACATGGCATAGTTATGTCAAATTGTAAAGGAACGACGGTGGGTATCTATTGCGGCTGTGGCATTCAACTGCTTCTGTGTCATCGCCTCAAGGGTGAGAATACGTAAAAGGCTTTATTGACAAGGAGGAATTCTAAAAGTGAGAATATATACAACGCTTTTTTGACTAGCATAAAGGCGAGAACACATAGAACTAGTTTTTTTACTGCCTCAAGTCATCGGCTGGCTTTTTCTTTTAGACTTACGGTGAGAACACATGAAACGCTTTTTTGACTGGCTTAAAGGTGAGAGTACATAAAAGGCTTTTTGATTGGCTTAAGTCATCGGCTGGCTTCTTCGGAAAAAAGGAGCGAAGGACCAAAATCGAATTAAATCAACCTAAAACTCTCCTGTTTCTCTACAAAGAAGCCAGCCAATGACTTAAGCCAATCAAAAAAGTCTTTTATGTACTCTCACCTAGTTCTATGTGTTCTCGGCTTTATGCTAATCAAAAAAGCGTTTTATATATTCTCACTTTTAGAATTTCTTCTATTCTCACTTTTAGAATTATGATTTCAATTTCTGTAAAATTATTAATTTGACAACAACTCATTGTTAAAATGTATATTTTCCATTCTCTACACAAATCAGATATGGAAAACTGTTTTCTATGCAGAAAAATTTGAAAAGTTTATTTACAGGAAAACAAATATGGATATGTTTATTTGAAATGACATTACCCTCTTAATTCTACCATGGAAGCTCTAAGGATGGAAATACATAAAGCGCTTATTTGGCTGGCTTAAGTCATCGGCTGGCTTCTTCGTAGATGAACAAAGGAGTTTTAGGTTGACCTAGTTCGATTTTGGTCCTAGGCTCCTTTGTTCATTTCCGAAGAAGCCAGCCGATGACTTAAGCCAGCCAAATAAGCGCTTTATGTATTCCCAGCTTAAGTGCTTATTTGGCTGGCTTAAGTCATCGGCTGGCTTCTTGGGAAATGAACAAAGGAGCCTAGGGCCAAAATCGAACTAAGTTAACCTAAAACTCTTTTATTCCTCTACGAAGAAGCCTGCCGATGACTTAAGCCAGCCAAATAAGCGCTTTATGTATTCCCACCTTAAAGCATTTTTAAAAATCACTTGTGAATACTCTTGATATTTTATTGGGAGGTTTTTGAATCATTGTTGTTTAGCGGAAATTGATCCTATGTCCCAAATCCCCTTAATAAATTTTCGATGGATCAAAAAAGGGCAATAAATTTACGATTTTCTGTACTGCGATAAAAAAAAATAATATGTACACTTGTAGCTCCAGGCCAGAAGTAAATTATGAAATCATTATCTGTTCTTTACATATGTTAAATGTCAATAAGGGTTAAAAGAGAATAATAATTTTGTTATGTTTTTTTTTCTGTCTTACCTCCTTCCACCGTCGTCCAATGTTACACTCGAAAAAAGTTGTTGGTGGCATGGTATGAAGATGGCCTTCAAAAATATGTTAAGCGACCACATATTATGGTCTCAATATGACATTGAAAAAAAAAGTAGAAGAATACATGTCTTTCAACCTTAAGGCAGCTTTGTAAAAATGTAGATATTTGATTTAACAATTCCTTAAAAATTGCCACCTTTAAAGAATCGTCTATTGGTATAAAGCATTGTAGAACTAAGAAGGTAAAGTCATTTCAAAAAAGTATATCGTCAAAGTCATTTCAAAAAGAATACAGGTAGTCGCATCGACACAGCAGCTGGAACAATGAACTGTCAAACCAATTTTGGAATTGAAATTTTTGAATGAAAAATTATTCAAATTTGTAAAAATCGTTAAAAAAAATGCATATTATAAGAAGCTTCAATTTCTTCAACATTTAAGGTGCAAGTACATAAAAAGTTTGAAGTCATCGCTAGGCATATTAATGCCGCCAAATTATAATGGAAAACGACGGCAGGTTTTTAGTGCGGCTGTATAATCCCTAAATGAAATGTCACAAAATATGCCTAGCCATGACTTCAAGCTTCTTATGTACTTACACCCTTAGAGTGGAAATACATAAATCGCATATTTGGCTGGCTTAAGTCATCGGCTGACTTCTTCGTACATATAGGTTAACTTAGTTCGATTTTGGCCCTAGGCTCCTTTGATCACTTTCAAAGAAGCCAGCTAAATAAGCGCTTTCTGTATTTTCAATGACTCTAAAGGTAAGAATACATAAAGCGCTTTTCTGACTGGCTTAAGTCGTCTCTTCTTTAAAGAACAAGGGAGTGTACGGGGCGAGATAAAAAAATGCTACAAAGTCAAACACCATAATTTTGACATTTTTTTTATTTTTTGAATGAAAGCAAAAATGTCGGAAATAGCTTCAAATTTTAGAATAATAGTACGTTTATATATATGAGGGTTAACCCACTAGATTTGGATTTAAATTGTCAAATCCATTACTTTTACTTCAAATAAATCCTCTCAAAGTAGGTTAACCCTACAAAAAGTTCTAACGTAAACATGGCATAAGTTTAGATTTGTTCGAATTGGTCACCTTTGGCACGAATTATGGCCTTCAAACGGTCAATGAAACCGTCACACGCTGCAAGAATGTTGTTCTGCGGTATTTTGGCCAATTCCCGGCGAAGCGCTTGCTTGAGGTGATCGACATTTTGGTATTTTTTAGT